GCTTTGCCATGCAAAGTGGTGCTTCACCACACACTGCATACATATAAGGAGCTGCTTCACCCCAAGACTAATTTTTGGAATCTCTCTGTGGAGCATCACCTCCACCAGCTGTGATAGTTTGTTGCATGACATCTTTCCAGCTCTAAAAGCTATGATACGAGGGTATTTTAGGTAGGAGCTGATTCTAGAGCAGCCCTGAATTCTGACATGGTACTGCTGAAGTACAGGGAAGGATTGGAAGAGTGGAGTTAAAATTTGTTTGAGTCTTGCTCAGCAGCTGCTGCCTGCTTTACTGTACAGACTGTGAAGGTGATAATTTGCAGGCATTTCCATGCAAATACTGCTTTTTTGTTTTGTAAATATAGGCAAGTGGCATCTTTTGCCATAAATACAAGCAAGTACTGGTGTCTCTTGGCATAAGTACTGCCTTTATCTAGTGGTTTTGTTCTTGTGAGCTTCTGTGTGTGCTGCCAACACAGTTCCATCAGTAATACCTCTGCCTTCCTGCAGAAACACTCAGAGGGCATTGCCCAGCATGGTCAGGGGGCAGCGTGCTTATGAAGGAGGAGCTCAAACTTAGGTGGTCTTTGGTGGGCTGTGGATCACTCATTATATTATTTACATGCATATGGATATGCTCATGAATTATGTATCTGCCTCTAAGACTTATAATTTAAATATTAATAATCTCAATTCCTTAAGTCTCACTCTCTCTGATATTTGTGGCTGAGAATGTCACAAGTTATCGATGACACTCTGTATATATAGAGATGTATCAATTTACCATTTATGCATTTAGTATGTTTGTGGAAGTTTAAATACCTTCAACTTTTCTTCCCTCTTCCTTCTATCGACTGTCCTTTTTCTCTGTTCCCATTTCTCCATCCACAGTAAAATTTAAATTAAGCATTCAAGTATTACGGGACATGGCTGAGGGCTGAAAAGGATTCCTCACAGACCTGAGTTGAGGTATTGTGATAAGAAAATAGAGGGAAGTGTAATTTGCTTATTCTACCTTCTTGAGCTTTTCTTTAAAAAATCAAACAAACGCCTGGTTCTTTTGAAACACCCTTCTTCTCTCTGATTTAAAAGAGAGAGGGAAGAGAGCAGCACCTCTTTCTGGATTTCAGAAGATGTGAGCTAAAAAAAAAGGGGATTTTCTGTAGCTTCAGCAATATTGATAATTTCCTCCTAAAGTCCAAGGAGATGTGTTAGCATACAAAGCAGTTGAATTTAAATATACCAAGGGCTACTATCTGGGAGGAGGTATTTTACTTTTCTCTTTCTATTTTGATTTTTTGTAACTTATTAATGCTTTTCCAATGTAAGTATCACATTTTCCTCACACTTGTGAAATGTCTATTCATATACCTGTTAGTTTTAATACATTTTAGCAGAAGATGTTTGTAGGCACTAAGGTAATTTACATCTGTTAGCTTGTAGTGCTTCCAGATGGAACAACAAAATCATGTGATTTAGAGACACTAGACTAGTTAAAAAAAGAACCCAAACTTACACAGTGTCTGTTACACTGTAGCAGTCCCCTAAAGTGATTTATATTTTCCATATTTGCTCAGAAAAGCTGAAAGGAAAGCTGTATGAGATTTTATTTCAGTCTTTCTAATGGTTCATAATTAACTTTGGAGAAAAATGGTACATCAGATTTGTGTTACATATCAAAACTGATCATGTAGTCATTATAGAGCTCTATTATGATAATTCTACAAAGATATATTTATATCTTTGGCTATATTTATTCTTTATTTTTCTGTATCTGGACCCAGCTGTGTGGAGATGGGGAAAGGAGGAGAATTCAGCAGTGTATTCTTTTTTGACATTTGTATGAACACAGGACATTTTCATACCCTACATACACTTTAATAACAAAATCTACAGGAAGAACTTTAAAAATGGCAAACATAATCTTATTCCACTGCAGACATCCATGTTTTGTTTTACCTCTGTGCTTGACACTTGGAAGCACAGTGGACTTCCATAAGGACAAAGAGTGAAAGGTGGATCTCACTAGTGATTGATTTTGTGTCCCAGATGTACCCAAATTTTACAAAGGGTCACACATACAAAACAACAACAAAGGCAGCAAAATGTGTCAGGTTTCTGTGAGGAGGCAAGCAAGAACAGTCAGTTCTTCCTGTAAACATACACTCTTAAGTCACATGAGTTTAAATCATGTGGTTAGAGGATGTGAGAGAGATATACTTAATTTATCACATATTTGATTTATTTAACCCCACTGAAATGAACAGATTTACTCCAGAGGAAATGTGAAGAGACATGGGTTTTAATCAAACTGTCTTTCACTTTTGCTTGAGCTATCTCCTGATTTTCATTTTCAATACTAATAAAATGATGTGTTATTTAACACAGAGTTGTTAAAAACATTTAAATCCTGTCTGGATCATTGTGCACAATATCGTTATTTTGAATTTTACACTAGTGTATGTCTTGATGCAAACAAATGAAATTGCTTTCATGTATATAAAATTTAATTCTACTCCACAAGGGATAAAACAGTAAACACCATGTTTCAATGGTAAATACAGATTGTTTAACATTTAAACTGTTGATTAAAAATGCAGATAATCTATTCTGCATCCTTCCGTAATAATCACATTTTGTCCTAGGAATATAGCCCTAGTGCCTATGCTCTGTGTTGGTGGCACAATGAGGGATTCAGCAGATTAAAACTACAAAAGACAACCAGCGGTGTTATTCATGTATATTTTCTGAAATAAAGACAGCTATTTCTCAAGGTTTTTCCAGAAACTAAACAATTAGTTTCTTGAACCACTTTATTGTTAAAAGCTGGACAACAGGAAGGAAAACTATGTTTACTTTACCTTTAAAATACATGCCAGGGTTGAACTTGGGGGTTATAAACCAGTGGGTCTTACATCCCATATATTGGTAAAATAGCTGAAAAATAAGTATAGAGTTATAATGAACATATTATAAGGACAAATTGCAGCAATCCCCAAGGGAAATTTTCTTTCTTTCAGGGTGTCAACAATAGCAGATAACTGAGAAGTGATATATATAATTTATTTTGGGCTTTAAAAATCTGAAGTGGCTATTAAGAAAACTAAGAGTAATCACTAAGAGTGGGCTTTCATGGACAAGAAACTGATTAAGGAAGTAAACAGTGGAATAAATGGGCTTAGAAAGTTAAAAATTGGGCTGAAAATTTAGTTCTATTTTATTATATAATAGATTTTATTTGTGGCATTGGGTGATATATTGTCATATTTACACTCAGGATTCAGGTAAATGGGTACTGAAAAGTGCTTTTTGTCAGTCAATGCAAAGCACTCATTTTGGTGTTTTGCAGGTTTACTGTCTATTGGTCTATTGGTATTCATTTTACCAATAACTGTCATTCCCAGAAAATCTAAATATCTATAGATGGGGAAAGCTTTAATTGCTTTTTAGATGAACAACATTTTTAAGTCTACTGTTTAGGTGTTACAGTCCAAACAATCCACCATTATTTATTTCATTTCATTATTAAAATGACAGTGTAATAATGAATTTGCATTTGGATATAAAGCTGTAATTAAAAAAATCACAGGTGTTATGGGAAAAAAAATTACTGGTTGGTGTTCATGTTCAAACAGAAAACTTTTCTCAGGAATGCTTTTGTGTAATTTGTGGATGCAGTTTCTAAGTGACAGCATTGAGCATGTACCGAGTTTTGCTTTCTCCAGTTTCAGGGATCGTATTGTTAGCCTTGTTCATACTTGAGCTCTTCAAGTTACCTGGAATGTCAACAATGAATTATTGTTCTCAGTCTGAACACAAGTATGTGCTTCATAAAGCAAGATTTATTTCATTTTCAGTCTCTATGCTGTATGCCTGCATGTGAATTCTTGCATATATATGCATTGAAAGGAACAGTACATGAGTAGTAGTTGGCAGAGGGTGTTTCATGTATTGAATGCAAGGGTTATCAGTCTTGAGAAAGTTGCAGGAAAGCTGTCAGATACATGAAGGGCTTTTACAATAGCAGACAATGATCTATTCATAGAATTACAGAATGGTTCGAGTTTGAAGAGACCTTAGAACTCATCTACTTCCAACCTACCTGTCATAGGCAGGGACACCTTTCACTAGACCAGGTTGCTCAAAGCCCCGTTCAGCCTGGCCATGAACACTGCCAGGGATGGGGCATCAACAATTTCTCTCAGCAGCCTGTTCTGGCTGCCTCACCACCCTCATAGTAAAGAATTTCTTCCTTATATCTAATCTAAATCTCCCCTCTTTCAGTTTAAAGCCATTCCCCCTTGTCCTATCCCTATATGCCCTTGTCAAAAGCTTCTCTCTGTCTTGTCAGCCCGTTTAGGTATTAGAAGGGACCTAAAGTCTTGATTGTTAGGGTGATTAATAATTATAAATTATAAAAAATCTTGACTGAATTACAATTATAATTATAATTATAAAAAATCTTGACTGAATATTAGGAAGAAAGGCTTCTAACAGGGTAGTGAAAGACAGAAATGGTTTACAGACAATGGCTAAAGATGCTGCTTCACTGGAAATTGTCAGAGCTGGAGAAACATCCCTGAAGGTAGATGCAACAGCAGAGCTAATTTAATTCAGAACATTGTCTTGAAATTTAATCTCGATTATGTTAATTGGTGAGACAGTTCAAGATAGGGAGTAGTTGGATTCTCTGCTTTGAGGGTTATCAAAAGAGGCAAGTGTGCTCTTTGGGACAGTAGTACCTGTCTGAATTTCTGTTACCAGTGGAGTCAAGAGACTTCTGAATTTCCGTTCCTTAATGAGCTTTTCAAAAGCATTTTCAAGCCTCAGAATTCACTGGCCTAAAACCTTCTCTTGTTTGTAGGCTTTTATTGTCACAACAACTCCATTACTCAAGAGTCTTGGAGATCCTGGGTCAAAGTAAAGGAATAATTTAGGCTTGGACCTTGGTGACTTTATGTAGCTGCATATTGTCCTGGGTGCAGCAGTAGCAATCATTTTTCTCTTCTTAGTAGCTGGTGCAGCGCTGTGTTTTTGACTTTCAGCCTGGGAACAGTGCTGATAACACCAGTGTTTTTGGTTGTTGCTCAGTAATGTTTACTCTGACCAAGGACTTTCTAAGTCTCATGCTCTACCAGGGAGAAGGGGAAGCCGGGAGGAAGCAGAGACAGGACACCTGACCCAAGCTAGACAAAGAAGTATTCCATATCACAACACGTCATGCCCACTATATAAACTGGGGGCAGTTACCCAGAAGGGTTAAATCACTGCTCAGGTCGGGCTGGGTATCAATTGGTGGGTGGTGAGGGGTTGTATTCTCTTCCCTTGTTATTTCCCTTATCAGTATTATTGGTGGCAGCAGTAGTGGGTTTGTGTTATACCTTAGTTACTGGACTGTTCTTACCTCACCCTGTAGGAGTTACATTCTTTTGATTTTCCTCCCCATCCCTCTGGGAATGGGGGGAGGAAGGGGAGAGTGTGAGCAAGCGGCTGCGTGGTTCTGGGTTGCTGGCTGGGCTTAAACCACGACACATATACATAATCTTTGTATGAAGCTCCCATTATCATTAGTATGGAAATAACTCAGTCACTGTGTTAAATTCCACAATTGTACTGATTTTTGCTATATGTTTGAAGGTGCTTCTTGGTGTTGTAGATTTTTTTAAGTTTAATGTTGGGCAGTCTGAAGTTTTGTTTGATATTGCGTAAAATTATGTTTCTGTATATCCTTAAGGGTTGAACAGAAGGGTGAATGTGTTCTATCACTGCCTTTCAGGATGATTCTATTTAACGATGCTAACTCCCTTTTATTTGATTAGGGATTTAGTGATATCAGAACAGTCATGCAGATTTTATTGCAGGTGCACAGAGATGCTGTTTCATTTTATTCCTTGGAGGATTAATAGTTTTTGACACAAATCTACGTGAACACCTTTATTCTTCATTATTTTGTAAAAAGGCCACCCAGTGAGCTATTTCAGTGGAAGAAAAAAAAAATGTTTACATGTACCTAGGGAGGATGATTTGATGTAACAGTAATAATAAAATATGCTGATGTGATCATAATATCATTTCACTGCATGCGGGTGGAAACTGAAACTTCTGTTACCAGTGAGATACTGATGATGAATAATCAGCTTCACATCCTAGAGAGGTAAACACAATCTGTGTCTGAATGTATATCAGGGGAAATCCTTCATGTATTTTTATGAGTCAGTGTGCACAGATGATATTTTTAGATTCTTTTTCATTCAGCCCACTCAGTTTAATAATATAGTGGTTGCACTGGTCCATCCCTTCCTGCTGCACAGCTTTGTTTTCAACACAGGCAGGGCCATGGACATGGCAGTGGAGCTGGTCATGCAGCACCCTCATGGCTGGGCACTGAAGAAAGCTAGAGGTAATCTCGAAACAGGAAGGCAGAGATAAAGAATCAGATGCAAGAGGAGAAATAACCACAGAATTTCACAGCTGGAAGAGATACAGCAAAGAGGTATCCCAGCAGAGGTCATGGACAGGCTGACAAGGAGCAGATACAGAGATAATGTTTGAAGCTTAATTTTAGTATTAAGAAATCAACATTGTAGGACCAGGCACTCAACTGCCACTTTACCTGGAAAGAATAATGGCTATGGTGATGCAGATAAAAAATAAGCATCATATCATCCAAATTTTCAACATAGGCACATTTCTGGAAAAAAATATAGACACTGAAACATCTTTCCATATGATCTTTTCAGTACTAATTATTGCACTAAACATTCAATAAATAAGGCAATGTATTTCTTTATCTCACATCCTAATATGTGCCTGAATTTTATCACTGATGTGTAATCAATGAAATTATGGCATATTACAGTGTAATGCAAAAGGTAGTGCTTCTAAATTGGTATTTTAAGAACATGATAAAAACAGTTTGAATACTAAAAGCCATTTATAAAGATCAGCTTAGCAGAGAAACTTACTATAACTTTATTTTTCTCCAATTTTCTTGTACAGATCTGTCTTACCTTGTGTTTACCAAGTAAATCTCTTATTTTAGTAGAAATCGCTGAAGGAGATGTGTTGTTTTTAAAGTTCTGAGGTATTACCAAGGGTGTAAAAGATATCATAAAGAGAGAAAAGATGTACACAGACCTGAGAGTATCTTCCTAGTAATGCATATACCACTAAATGCTGCTCTCAATATAGAAACTGGGTTAAGTTACAGTGATGTTCTAGCTAACCATGAGAAATTAAGTGTCATAGAGATTTACCTGGTATTTGAGAATCAGTTCTTCCAAAAGGAATTGTTTGTTTTAAACTGTAAGGATTTTTGGGGCCTAGTTTTAGGTATTACTAGACAGACTTACAGCAGCTTTGGAAAAATACTGGAAAGTAAGTCACAAAAATGCTGTAAAAGTGCCAAAAATTGTTTATGTTAGTTTAATTTTCTGTTTTGTCCTATACCTGATAGTCTGAGGGACTTTTTTTCGGGACTACTGTTATGCAAATAAGAATGCGTTCTTTTGGCTCAGATTAATCTGGTTTTCCACTGTGGGAGGGTTATGGAAATAGTAAATAGACAAATTCTCAAGTTGTTAGTGGTATGGGCTTTTGCTTGGATTTTGGAGTGCAGGCTCAAAGCAAGATTTTATGTTTAATGTCTGTTCAGGTTTTCCTAGGTGAATGTTATGTTTTCTTTTCTAATTACATATTTAACAATCAAAACTTTGCTTGATGACTTACTGCAGCAATATTTGCAGTTAATGATACTGACGCTGAGGAAATCTCCCTGGTGCTTTTTATCTAGTTGTTACCACACTGTTTTAGAATGTAAGTAATTAAAATGTCAATGTTTATGGATTTATTTGTTTGCTTTTAGTTATCTATTTTCAAAAGTGTTAGAATTTGGCCATTGTGTTCTGATGTTGTTGCATAGCTTAGCCTAGAGATTAAAAAAGAATACAACCTTCAAAACTTTTATGGGTATCATAGTCTTCTTTCTTGAATTATGTATTAATAATCTGACTTTACTTGAACGCAAGGTTCTAGCGCTTAGGCTGCAAAAGGCCCATAGTTGAAAAAAGTGTTAGAATTAAGATGTCAAGTACATGTTCACATGGATAGTAGTAGATAATTAGTGGTTTATGGGGGCAATTGGAAGATACTAGACAGTAAAAAGTAATTTTTTTTGATGCATTATGATTCACCATAGGTTATTTTTTTGGGGTAGTGGCCAAATTCTGCAAACGTATAATTTAGATATACCTTCCATAAACCTACGCTGATAAAGCCAGTTTCACAAGGAAAATGGATGTTAAGCAATTCTTCCTTCTGAGATTGAGTTTTTACTTTTTGCTGGAAAACCACTTCCTTTTTTTTTTTTTTTTTTTTCCTAGAACTGATTTCCCAATAAAATGCAAAAGAAAATTAAACAATGCAATTAAAAATTAAGAAGGACATCTGTAATATTTAGAACAACTAGAATTTACCAGTGGGGGGTGGCAAAACTCCCAATAATTTCTGTAGCAGGGTTTTTCCCCCAGTGATACCTCCTCCAGAAGGCAAACCGTAATCATGAAGGTGCTGAATGTTCACTTTCAGACTGGGTAACAGATGGCATTTGGCTACCTATGACTAATATATTTTTTCCTCTTGATACTATGAGTACAACAGATCCAAGTAAATTATTATACCTAGGAAAGCAGCTGTGTTGCACAAAGAAACAGTTCTTCGGTAGACCACTACTGGTGTGTATTGAGTGCTCCACTTTAATCTTTTTTTCTGACTTATATCCATAGGTGTTTGAGTCTGGCATGACGCGTTCCTTTGTCTTCTCTAAAATCCCTTCCTGATCATGGGGCTTTTCTAGAAACCTGGAGTACACAGACATTGTGCATAAGCTCCCACAGCTCTGCAGAGCCAGTCCAGTTCAGTACTGCTCAGGATTTTTTTCCTATGTGCTAATCAAATCAAAAACATCACAGCCAATTAAATCTATTCTCTCATTCCGTAAGTCAAAGAGCATATCTTTGAATTGCCTTCTGCTATTGAGACAGTTTGTGCCAACAGTTATACCATGTATCTAGCTGTTATGGGAAGATGATTCAGTAGATAGTGGCAAATTTGCTTTGAATAACTTTGCAAAAGGATCATTGTTTTGGTGTAGCGTCAGTGTAGGGTATGAACCAAAATCTATATAACTAGAACTTCTGGTTTGATCCTTCAGGTCCACAAATGTCAAAGCTGTAAAAAATCAAAATTTAAGTTCATAAAAGCATAACATCCCCCTAAATATGCAGGATCTCCTTTGTCTTTGACCAATAGTAAATTTTTGCTTTACACCAAATATTAAATCTTCAACAATTTGTACAAAACTATGCAGAAACAGTGTCATACAAAAGTCATGCTAAAAAGTGACATTAAACCTTCAAAAACTTGTCTTTTGTGCTATTGTTCATTATCAAACTTGTTTTGAAAGGCAGAGGATTGCAATTCACATTGTAAAAAGACGTCAGTCTCCTCTACTGGTACTAAAGCCTGTGATGGTATTGTAATGAGAATAAAAATGATGTTGATATAGTAGTTTTGCACTCTTATTCTGTCCTCACTTTGTACTTATTTCATCAGCTTTCTTTACTATCCTAGAAAGAAAATTTCCCTACAAAACAGTTTGGTATTCTTTTATGGGTAGAGTGAGGCAGAGAGAGTAATGGAGAGCTGCCTTGTTTTAGTTTTATCTTATTTACAGTTCTTAGTACAATTATACATTGAACAGTAAATGGACACACACAAAACTATAGTTTTATTAATAACTGCTGTTCTAACAAGGAACCCTAACGATTGCTTCATAGCAGAGTGAAGGGAGGACAGAGAATACACCCTACAGTAACTACTTTAAAATGTAAGGATAATTGCCTGGAAAGTGGAGGGGAAATTAAAAACACCAAAATAAGGAAACATCCAGTTGTTGAGATCTGATAGCTAGTACTCTTGAATCATGCAGTCTACTGCCTTTTAACAGCTTCTCCTGGAGGTTCAACTTGAACAGCTGAAACTCTTAACAGCAACTTGAAAATATGAAAACATGGAACTTTTAGATATTTGCCTCTGAGAATGGTTGTGTTACATAGCAGCTCTGCACTGCTGCTCACTGCTGCTGGCACCGTTCCAGTTCTCATAGCAGCTATCTTCGTGTTGGAATATCAGTGGTCAACATCCTTAACACATCTTCCATGCACTACTGTGGCACTGAAAAGCATCATAGGGCTCCTGAAAGAGCTTCTGGAATATGTTGTTTGGTGCTGAGTTCCTGCT